CTTAATGATTCTATGATTCTATGAAGTTAGGAAGAAATTCAAGGCCAAAAAAGCCAATGCAGGAATGACTAAATGAAACTGCCATTTCTCAGTTCCCAGCCCTCCAGCATCCTTTATGCTTGAGGTTGTTTGCCTATAGGTCAGAGTGACTGTGAAGCAGGCTGGGATGCAAATTTACAGTGTAGCAGTTTGGTGGCCCCCATACAGAGGTACAGGGCTTACTCTCAACTACCACCATCTGAAAGTTAGAAGTATGATCCTACTTGGTTCAGGTTGGTTACACAACCTGAAAAATTCACAAATCCAGATGAGTGATGTGGTATGAATCCACTTTGAAAGGGGACTAGAGAAGATAATGTTATCTGCAAGCTAAGGGTGTCCACATAGAGAACCAGCACTTTTCGGATTCACAAGCTGACTTAATTCCCTAGGTAGGCAAGCCCAAACAGCAAAGAATATATGGCTTTCTTCGCTTTGAAGTTGGAGGAGATGTTTGTATTTAATTGTTTATGGATGGTAACTTCATACACATTCTGTGACTCTAATTTTTCAGTTCCACCATTGCAACCTTCAAATCCTATAATCCAAATCATTCTGCTTTGATAGGACAAGCTCCATCTTTCATTCTCTGGATACACAGTTTGACAAGTGATGTTTTCCTTTTGGTATATTAGCACCTTGTATCTGCCTCAGATTTACAAAATGAGCCAAGGTCTCAATCAAAAAAATCAGGGGAAACCATTTACAAGATAAAACAAGCCACACAGTTAAATAAAAGATAACCACTTAGGTATAAGTTCTCTTTTGACAATATTATTAGCTAAATACCTTTTCTCTTCCTTCAGTATATGTTGGCATGAAATCTTTTCCCCAGGGTTTCTGATTTATATGAGAGAAAAGGAATGGGGAAATATCGCAGGGTGTTTTCACCTACTTTGGCAAAATCTGAAACATACTTTCCTGCTACCTGAACCACAACACTGTTTGCAGATTATCAGGTTTCCTTAAGCCTCCATTTTCAAAGTTTTCCCAGGATAGTTCAGATCATCAGTTCTTACAATTTAAACAGAAAGATTAATTTCTAAGGGACTGCTGTAACAGCATGGTAGAATGCCAGATTGTTTCATTCTTGCAGCTACTAATATGTTTGCTTTCAGAGGCAATCGATCTTTTCGAGATCCCTCTTCTCCTCAGTTTGACAGAAATCTGTTAATGACAAAGCTCTGAGTGTTCTCTAAATGCAATGCGTGGTGAACTTTGAGTCCCAAGCCTGAAGCCACAGTCTTCCCACTGTTTGTTGCTTGGGCTCAATAAACATCACACTGATATATTGAGATGACTCAGCTATGCAGCGTTCACCTGCCAGCACCAACTCACTGGTCTGGACTTGTGAGTTTTTCCAGATAGCGGACAGGCTGAAAGAGCAAAGCCATTTATAGACCTGGTGATTATAATGATGCATGGGAACAAAAATAGATTTATAACAATCATAACATCCAGGACAGCAATACAAATAGTGAGGATAAAAACCAGGGAAAGATAAATACCTGTCTGGAAATATGACTACTACTGAATCAATAAGCTGATGTCCTACCAACAGCACGTCATTACGGATTGAAAGCAATGTGGTATCAGTAACTTTCAGTCTGCCCAATGGAAGTGGTCCTTTTTCTCGAGTTTTATGTGCTGTTACAAGTTGCAGCGAACCATTTCTGTTAACTAGAGGGCTGTTTCTGCATCACTTTTAACTAACGATTTTTAAAACAAGCTAGTCATATTCCTGTAACATGGAATGGACTACTTAATGCCTATATTCACCACTTTAGGTTTGTTAGTAAAAGAAGAAATCCTGATTTTTTTCAGTTTCTTTTCCTATTACATCTTGTAAACTATGTTATGGATAATGAATAATTAAAGGGGCTTAACTTTTAAAAAACAATTTCAGGCTGTGTCCCTTCCCTGTTATGGCATGTAGTCACAAACGTGGTTCTTTTAAACACTGCAGAGAACAGCTTGGTTGTAGCATGGACAAGTGTTTATTACAGGGTTTACTGCCTTGTCCTATGATTCCATGCTCTGCAAAGCACATCTTAACTAATTCCCAAAGGCAAAGTGGCAATGCTGTAAAGCACTTGTGAAAACATTCAAACTGCAGTTTAAACCTTGTTAAAGCGCAGTTCTCTGAAAAGTGACACTAAAAATGGCAGTGTGGGATCCTGTATTTATTGTCTATTTGTGATTTCCAGATCAAACATGTTAAGTACAACTATACAGTTCCCTCCTAACATCCACAGACTCCAATGAGATTAGATAGTTGAAACTTTCATGTTCATGTATCGTTAAGATGATGGTCTCCTTAGCATCTGTCCAAACCTGCTGTCCTCACTGAAACAGATACACCTTGGCCCCCTTCCATTCAGCTGAATGAGCTCAAGGAGGATCTGTTTTCTTCCCATTAACCTGTGTCAGTTTTTTCACTGCTTATGGGAGTAGAATGTCTTTTCAGGCGGGTCAGCAAATCTAACTCTGAACACAAATATATACAAAGCAGATGTGTTGAAGAAGATGCTACTTCTTAACCCTAGCCACATTTTCAGCTAAAGAATTTTAATGGCTTTTTAATTTGTTTTCTGGTCTGTTTCACAGCATAAAATATTTCAATCTCTAGAAAATTCTGATGTGAACAATATTCTCTATACACATTAACCTGTTTAAACACAGGCTTATGAGCTACATTGTTATTTCTCTAGAGAGCCAGCCTTTGTGTATTTATGGCTGGCACCAGCAATGAGAAAACACAGCCCAATCCAAAGCCCACTGAAATTCAGTTACACTGTTCAATTAACCACGGGGAGCTTGCTTTAGGTTTGGTGCTTTTCTTTCTGCTGTATATCTGAGCAGGAAGCAATCAGCCTCACCCACCTCCCAGGGACCTCTGAGTTGACGCTGGGGCTTGCTGTTCCCAATCAGGAGAAGAGACACATTGCCATGTCCAGCTCTTGGCCTCTGAGGGAATAAAGCTAGTTTGGCTTAAATAACTTCTGCTGGTGGAGTTGCTATAGCATTCTGGTTGACACGTGAAGTTGGTCCCTATATGGAGAATACGGTGTTCATGCATAGCTGCCCTTACATGGTTGAAGATGGCCATTTCAAAAATAGTCCTTCCCCCTACCCCACAACGAAAATGTAGAAATGTAGAGATAGATCCTGGCACTACTCTTCCTTTATCTGGGCAGTATGTTCATAAGTATATCTAAGAATGAATAGGTGCTGAAGTACTAGAAGGCTCTGAAAAGATTACAGGAACAGTTACAGCATCCATTCAAGGTGCAATGGTAACTGAGTGGTGACTACTACCCAACAGATGCCAGCAATACTCCTTCGGGTGGTGAGGTTTCCGTGCCAATTTTCACATCACCTCTTACAAAGAACTCATCACTAATTCAAGTGTCTTGAATTTTTATCGTCCTGATGAGTGTAATCAGCATCTGTTTCAATCTTAGGTTATGCTTGATGGGTGTTCAAACAGTTACAGATGTATAAGGAGGAATGCGCGAGGCTATCCTTGAAGACGACCGTTTCCTGACTTAGCGTAGCTGAATTTTTGTGAAACAATATGCAGGCTTTTTCCACCTCACTCTTTTGCCAATCCCGCACAGCCTTGTGACTCAAAGGGGCAAAACTGCACAACCCAGAGCCAACGTGGGCCCCAGATTTCAAATGCTCAAGAGCTGGAATATCCAGAGCTGAGGTTTTGGTCTGGCCTGTGAAAAGGGAGAGAAAGCCATCTGTGAAAACTGAAGGCACATCTGGGTTTGGCTTCTACCCCAGGATCCCACAGCCTCCCATAATCACTTTCTGAATATCTGCAGGTTGGGAAAAGAAATCCTTTCTCCGCACCTTTGCTTGGGAAGCAGTGCTCAGCTCTGTGCCTGGTACACGCAGGTTCCCCAGGGCTTCCAGGGAGCCCTCTGAGAAATCCAGGGAGGCAAGACCAGCAGGGTTTAATCCTTACGGCTTTAGAAAAATGCCCTTTTCTAACTAAAAGCACCGCATGGCAAGTGGGGGAAGGAAGAACAGGCCCCTGAGTGGGGCCTCTCCTGTGGACAAGGGCTTGCTGAAAACATTAAACCTTCCCTGTTTTCAGACACTGAATGTCACTGGAAAATCACAACCGCTCATGCAAAAGCCCCGAATTGTTCCCACAGGTCTCTTCTCCTTGCAAAGCCCCTCGGGGCTGGTGCTGGCCGGCGGGTGGCCCAGCCAGCCGGACACCCGTCATGTCG